CTCGGTCAATTCTCTCCTTTACAACCAAAATCCCTTTGTCTGTTTTGAGCTCTACATACTCGGTGCTGTCGCCAGACACGATACGAGCTCGACCCGAGCGAAGTCTTTGAACATCCAGACCAAGATCATGAGCTATATTCCCGATAAGAGATCCTTTCTTCATTTCCTCTGGAACTGAATACCGAATCTGTGCGTTTGTCTTTAAGATTGAAAAAACGGCCATGATGAATAAGACCCTCCATGGATGAACACGATGCAATGATTGTCTTTGCGACTGTTGGCAATGACTATTTTTGTATACTTTAATCACAAACATCATTATAAATACAGTTTCCAAAATACAAAATGCTGATTATGTTTAGCAAACGAAATGTCCACAAATTAATCCAAGTCGGTTGATAGTGCACGTCTCCGTTTATCGACTCTTCTAGTCTCCTCCACACTCACAACCAGCATCAGCACAGCTGCGCAAACTACAAGCGTCCCTTACCATGCTTTTCTACAAATCAACAGCGGCCCTTAGAGTTGAGAACTAGAAACAACATTTCAAAACTATAATTTCCTTCCATTGTTTTATCTTAAGTTAATTGATTTAATTGATTCCATAGTTGATAGCAAAAAACACATTCGTTCAAAAATATATGCAAATAAATAAGCAACAACTCTCTAGTACAAACACAAAGGGTAGCAGAATAGATCGCCAAAAATAAAATGTGCTCACAACACTGTAAAAAATGCAGGGTTCAACACAATTCATTCATGTTGTCCCAATACAAATTGCTTAGATTAACTTAACAATTGTAACAAATTTATATGAATTAAACATACAAAAGAAAGTTTTGAAATGAAATGAAACGAAATCCCAATGAAATCTCAAGTATTGTGTTGTTTTAGCTCATTTTAAATAAGTAGTTTAAACGAGCAAAAATAGTTTTGAGTGCATTTACTTACTCTCAAATGGTCCTAAATCTGTTTAATGCTATTTGCATGTTGAATAAAGTTTGAAACCGGTACAAGTAACATCCATATTGTAGGAAAAAATAAATATTGTTGAAGTCATTGGCTACAGGTATGGAATCCAACATTCTTCAAAATATCTTCTTGTTGTGTAAACGGAAGAGAGAAACTCAAACATATTTGGACCAAATAGAGGGTAAAAAATATATATTTTCTCTTCTTTAACTATACCTTAAAACCTAAAAAGTAATTTAAGGCAGAGTTATTAGCTTATTTAAGTCGATTACGCTTAAAGCACTTAATGCCTAAGCAAAACATTCATCATCTATAACATAAGTTGTTATTGCATTAAGCGTGAAATAACAATAAAATACTGTTTAAAACTTGATTAATGTTTATTCATTAAAAATCTGAGATTGTGCATCAGTTTAACTGACTTTTATTATGAACAAATTATAGCCTGAAGGCAACTAGAACGATTAAAAACTTTATGCACTTTAAAATGCCGGGTTGTTTCAGTATAATTGTTGGTAAATATGGAGAACCAACCAATCCGTCGAGGTTATGTTTCGAAGGAAATAAAAAAAAAACTCAAGAATTGGGCGTGTCCACATTCCCAACTAGTATTAAACAAACCAACATGTTTCAGAATGTACGTGTAGACATTAAACCCATGATAAAAATGCGAGAATGCGCACTCATATAGTTGTTATGTGAGCGAATACATTTACATACGATAACCTATTCAACTTTATAGAAACATTTTATAAATTTAACACCGTCTAATATTTTTAAATTACTATTTTCACTTGCAATTTAAATATGACATAGCATATAACAATTTTATAAATGGTCAATCTTACCATTTCAGGGCAATCGGAATCTTCTAAGAACTTTTTTTCCTTCATTGCGCGCTGCATCGTCTCAGTGAAACTTGGGTCCACCACTAAAACACTCTGACCCCCGAGTGTAGAAAACCTACAGTCACTCTTCCTCGAGTCAGTCGTCATGCACACTTCATAATTATAGCCGTGCGGCAGAGTTCCAGTGACTCCTGTGTCTGCGTAATGCGGTGGATAATACGGAATAACAGGCAGATTGGACTGATAGAGGAAGCGAGATTGTCTCCATCTGTAGATTTTAACTGATATTATCACAACCACACAAGTGATGAATAGGAAAGAAACAGCGGCCAGAGCCAGAACTAAATAAAAAGTTAAGCTGTCGTTATATTGTTTCTCATGCGTAAAGTCTGTGAACTCTGACAGCACTTCGGGAAAGCTGTCAGCCACAGCCACGTTAATGTAGACCACAGCTGAGCGAGAGGGCTGTCCGTTATCCTCCACAACAACAGTGAGTTTTTGTTTGACAGCATCTTTATCAGTGACTTGTCGCACAGTTCTTATTTCTCCATTCTGTAAGCCCACTTCAAACAGCGCTCTGTCTGGAACTTTCTGGAGTTTATAGGAGAGCCAGGCATTCTGACCAGAGTCCACATCAACAGCCACCACTTTAGTGACCAGATATCCAACATCTGCAGCACGAGGCACAATCTCAGCCACCACTGAAGCGCCAGTCTGCACTGGATACAGAACCTGAGGAGCGTTGTCATTCTGGTCTTGAATATTGATGGTTATTGTTACTTCAGAGCTCAGTGGCGGGGATCCTCCATCTCGAGCTGTCACGTTAAAGGAAAACGATTTTAACTGTTCAAAATCAAAAGATTTTACAGCATGAACCGTTCCAGTAAGAGCATCTACAGACACGAGTGAACTTAGCGGTGCACCGCGTATATCTTCATCCTTCAGGAAGTAAGATAACTGCGCGTTGGGACCCCAGTCAGCATCATTTGCTTTAACAGTCAGTATAGTCACGTCAGGGGAATTATTTTCATTAACAAATGTTTTATATTCATCTGAGCCGAATTTGGGCGGGTTATCATTTACATCTGATATCTTAACATTAAGTATTTTGTTAGAGTGTCGCGCTGGACTTCCTTGGTCCGATACCAACATCGTTATGTTATATTCAGTAACAGTTTCTCGATCAAGCATATCATCAGTTATTAAACTGTAATATTCTGAGAATGATGACTCTATTTTAAAAGGAATATTTTGATTTATTGAGCAATGAACAAGGCCATTTTTGCCCGAATCCGCATCTTCTACATTAATAACAGCTACTGTTGTTCCCACTGGAGAATTTTCAGCAATAGTGTTTGAGAAGGACATCAGCTGTATAGTTGGAGAGTTGTCATTTTCATCAATTACATCTATAACAATTTTGCAAGTATCAGACAAACCTCCTTTATCTACGGCATTAATATTTAGATGATAACTATTTTGCGACTCATAATCTAAATTTGCAAGAAGTATAATCTCACCTGTTTCTGTGTTTATCTTAAATATCTCCCTTGCTTCCTTGCTAGCAAAAGCAAAGGAGTATGAAACATAACCATTAACGCCTTCATCGGCATCTGCAGCGCTAACAGTACCCATGACAGTACCAGCAGGTGAATTTTCTCTAACCTCAGTTTTAAATACTGACTGTTTACACACCGGGGCATTGTCATTAGCGTCAAGAATAGTAACGTGTATTTTTACAGTGCCTGATTTCTGAGGTGATCCACCATCGGCTGCTACAAGAACCAATTTAATCTCATCACGCTCCTCTCGATCTAGTTCTCGTTGTAAAATCATCTCAATGTATTTATTTCCATCAGTCAGACTGTGCACCTCCAGTTTAAAATTGTCAGTTGGGTGTAGTTTATAGCTCTGTATTCCATTTAGACCTACGTCTGTATCCATAGCACTATCCAGAGGGAATCGAGCACCTAAAACTGCATTTTCTGCTATTTTCAAATTTACACTTTCTTTCGGAAATAAGGGAGCATTATCGTTGATGTCTTGTACCTCAACCGTAACTCGATGCAGCTGGATTGGGTTTTCAACGATGAGATCAAAACTGAAGCTACACGGCGTCGTTTGCTTACAGAGCTCCTCGCGATCTATCCTTTCTTTAACTACTAGAGTGCCTTTGTCTCTGCTCAGGTCGACATACTGTCGTCCACCCTTTGTTACAACACGAGCTTTTCCAGATATGAGTCTACTTATCTCTATTCCAAGATCCTTGGCGATGTTTCCAACGAATGATCCCTCCGGCATTTCCTCCGGGATGGAGTATCTCGCATTGCAATAAACGACGTCCATCCCGTACAAGTAGAGGATGAAAAAAACAACCTGCCATTTTGAATGCGTAAAAATCATTCGTGGATTATGTGTATTGCTCCACAACAGTAAAAACGCCATCGTGATAAGCAGTCGTCAACTGAAGCGAGATTAAGTGCAATACAACAATAAAAGTCCAAATCCTATATATGCATATTGCAGGTTCTTTCAATCCATATGCCCAACCTACAAGCGTGTCAGACTAAAAGACTGGAAATACAAACTACTGAGCAAATATAGGCTCTTTATTCAGATGTGGGCTAACAGCGGCACTCAGAGCTTTACACCTGCAAATACAAGCCTCCCTCTTTCCATTCTTGTTAAACGTCATGAGTTTTCACCAAAACAACAAAAGCAAGAGCAAGAACAAATAACAACAACGACAACAACAAGAACAATAATAAGAAAGTAAATGCGTTTTGTTTAAATATGTCACTGAGTCAGTCAGATCCGTCAAAAACATGCAACAGGAGGAATTTCAGCACCATCGGAATGAACAGCACCCTTTTTCAGCACAGTGATTTTATGTGTGATACCAATACAACATATATATTTTTATAGTGTAAATTTACATATTAAAGTACACTTAGAATTCTTTTCTGAAACAGGTGGCCTATTATTCCATTTTATAATGGACAATTTAAAAATGCAGAAAGTAAAAATATATGATTAAATGAGAACAAATCCATTGTAAAATGTTGTATTTATTTTTTTTCATAATTATTACTATTATTATTTTAATATATTATTACTATTATTTTTTTAATTATTATTATTTTCATCATTTTAAATAATTGAATTATGCAATGCTCTTACCATTTCGTGCAGTTCAGAGTTTTCAAGAATGTTCTTTTCCTTCATTGCGCGCTGCATCGTCTCAGTGAAACTGGGGTCCACCACTAAAACACTCTGACCCCCGAGTGTAGAAAACTTACAGTCACTCTTCCTCGAGTCAGTCGTCATGCACACTTCATAATTATAGCCGTGCGGCAGAGTTCCAGTGACTCCTGTGTCTGCGTAATGCGGTGGATAATACGGAATAACAGGCAGATTGGACTGATAGAGGAAGCGAGATTGTCTCCATCTGTAGATTTTAACTGATATTATCACAACCACACAAGTGATGAATAGGAAAGAAACAGCGGCCAGAGCCAGAACTAAATAAAAAGTTAAGCTGTCGTTATATTGTTTCTCATGCGTAATGTCTGTGAACTCTGACAGCACTTCGGGAAAGCTGTCAGCCACAGCCACGTTAATGGAGACCACAGCTGAGCGAGAGGGCTGTCCGTTATCCTCCACAACAACAGTGAGTTTTTGTTTGACAGCATCTTTATCAGTGACTTGTCGCACAGTTCTTATTTCTCCATTCTGTAAACCCACTTCAAACAGCGCTCTGTCTGGAGCTTTCTGGAGTTTATAGGAGAGCCAGGCATTCTGACCAGAGTCCACATCCACAGCCACCACTTTAGTGACCAGGTATCCAACATCTACAGCACGAGGCACAATCTCAGCCACCACTGAAGCGCCAGTCTGTACTGGATACAGAACCTGAGGAGCGTTGTCATTCTGGTCTTGAATATTGATGGTTATTGTTACTTCAGAGCTCAGTGGCGGGGATCCTCCATCTCGAGCTGTCACGTTAAAAGAAAACGATTTTAACTGTTCAAAATCAAAAGATTTTACAGCATGAACCGTTCCAGTAAGAGCATCTACAGACACGAGTGAACTTAGCGGTGCACCGCGTATATCTTCATCCTTCAGGAAGTAAGATAACTGCGCGTTGGGACCCCAGTCAGCATCATTTGCTTTAACAGTCAGTATAGTCACGCCAGGGGAATTATTTTCATTAACAAATGTTTTATATTCATCTGAGCCGAATTTGGGCGGGTTATCATTGACATCTGATATTTTAACATTAAGTGTTTTGTTAGAGTGTCGCGCTGGACTTCCTTGGTCCGATACCAAGATCGTTATGTTATATTCAGTAACAGTTTCTCGATCAAGCATATCATCAGTTATCAAACTGTAATATTCTGAGAATGTTGACTCTATTTTAAAAGGAATATTTTGATTTATTGAGAAATGAACAAGGCCATTTTTGCCCGAATCCGCATCTTCTACATTAATAACAGCTACTGTTGTTCCCACTGGAGAATTTTCAGCAATAGTGTTTGAGAAGGACATCAGCTGTATAGTTGGAGGGTTATCATTTTCATCAGTTACATCTATAACAATTTTACAAGTGTCTGACAACCCTCCTTTATCTCTTGCATTAATGTTTAATTGGTAACTATTTTGAGATTCGTAATCCAAATGAGCAAGAAGTGTAACCTCGCCTGTTTCTGAGTTTATATTAAATAGTTCTCTTTCTTCTTTGTTAGCAAGAGCAAAGTAATAGGAAACATGGCCATTAACACCTTCATCGGCATCTGCAGCGCTAACAGTACCCATGACAGTACCAGCAGGTGAATTTTCTCTCACCTCAGTTTTAAATACTGACTGTTTACACACCGGGGCATTGTCATTAGCGTCAAGAATAGTAACGTGTATTTTTACAGTGCCTGATTTCTGAGGTGATCCACCATCAGTTGCCAGAAGAACCAATTTAATCTCATCACGCTCCTCTCGATCTAGTTCTCGTTGTAAAATCATCTCAATGTATTTATTTCCATCAGTCAGACTGTGCACCTCCAGTTTAAAATTGTCAGTTGGGTGTAGTTTATAGCTCTGTATTCCATTTAGACCTACATCTGTATCCATGGCGCGATCCAAAGGAAAGCGAGCACCTAAAACTGCGTTTTCGCTTATTTCTAAATTAACACTTTCTTTCGGAAATAAGGGAGCATTATCGTTGATGTCTTGTACCTCAACCGTAACTCGATGCAGCTGGATTGGGTTTTCAACGATGAGATCAAAACTGAAGCTACACGGCGTCGTTTGCTTACAGAGCTCCTCGCGATCTATCCTTTCTTTAACTACTAGAGTCCCTTTGTCTCTGCTCAGGTCGACATACTGTCGTCCACTCTTTGTTACAACACGAGCTTTTCCAGATATCAGTCTACTTATCTCTATTCCAAGATCCTTGGCGATGTTTCCAACGAATGATCCCTCCGGCATTTCCTCCGGGATGGAATATCTCACATTGCAATAAACGACGTCCATTCCGTACAAGCAGAGGATGAAAAAAACAACCTGCCATTTTGAATGCGTAAAAATCATTCGTGGATTGTGTGAATTGCTCCACAACAATATGAACGGCATCATGATAAGCAGTCGTCAAATAAAGCGAGATTAAGTGCAATATTACATTAAAAGGCCAAACAAGATGTATGCATATTGCAATCCAGGTCCTTTCAATCCATGAAAAAAGCTACATATGCCCAACCCACAAGCACTTCAGAATAAGAGACTAGAAATACGGACTACCAAGCAAATAGGCTCTTTACTCAGATGTTAGTCAACAGCGGCACTCAGAGCTTTAAACTTGCAAATACAAGCCTCCGTGACTCCATTCTTGTTAAACGTCATGAGATTTACCAAAACAACAAAAACAAGAGCAAGAACGAAACCAACAACAACAATAATAATAAAGAAAACTGCGTTTTGTTAAAATATGTCACTGAGTCACCGTCAATTTCGTCAAAAACATGAAACAGGAAGAATTCGTTAACCTTTTCAGCAGTGATTTTATGCGTGATACCAACACAACATATATTTTTATAGTGTGATTTTACAGAATAAAGTACACTTAGAATTCTTTTCTGAAACAGGTGCCATATCATTTTATTTTAAAATTGAAAATTTAAAAACAACATGTAGAAAGCAAAAATATATATGATTAAATTGTAATAAAGACATTGCAAATTGTTGTATTTAATTGTTTTTGATAATTATTCCTATTATTATATATTTTTATCATTATTATTATTATCAATGTCATCATTTTTATTAATCGAATTATGCAATGCTCTTACCATTTCGTGTAGTTCAGGGTTTTCAAGAATGTTCTTTTCTTTCATTGCGCGCTGCATCGTCTCAGTGAAACTGGGGTCCACCACTAAAACACTCTGACCCCCGAGTGTAGAAAACTTACAGTCACTCTTCCTCGAGTCAGTCGTCATGCACACTTCATAATTATAGCCGTGCGGCAGAGTTCCAGTGACTCCTGTGTCTGCGTAATGCGGTGGATAATACGGAATAACAGGCAGATTGGACTGATAGAGGAAGCGAGATTGTCTCCATCTGTAGATTTTAACTGATATTATCACAACCACACAAGTGATGAATAGGAAAGAAACAGCGGCCAGAGCCAGAACTAAATAAAAAGTTAAGCTGTCGTTATATTGTTTCTCATGCGTAAAGTCTGTGAACTCTGACAGCACTTCGGGAAAGCTGTCAGCCACAGCCACGTTAATGGAGACCACAGCTGAGCGAGAGGGCTGTCCGTTATCCTCCACAACAACAGTGAGTTTTTGTTTGACAGCATCTTTATCAGTCACTTGTCGCACAGTTCTTATTTCTCCATTCTGTAAGCCCACTTCAAACAGCGCTCTGTCTGGAACTTTCTGGAGTTTATAGGAGAGCCAGGCATTCTGACCAGAGTCCACATCAACAGCCACCACTTTAGTGACCAGATATCCAACATCTGCAGCACGAGGCACAATCTCAGCCACCACTGAAGCGCCAGTCTGTACTGGATACAGAACCTGAGGAGCGTTGTCATTCTGGTCTTGAATATTGATGGTTATTGTTACTTCAGAGCTCAGTGGCGGGGATCCTCCATCTCGAGCTGTCACGTTAAAAGAAAACGATTTTAACTGTTCAAAATCAAAAGATTTTACAGCATGAACCGTTCCAGTAAGAGCATCTACAGACACGAGTGAACTTAGCGGTGCACCGCGTATATCTTCATCCTTCAGGAAGTAAGATAACTGCGCGTTGGGACCCCAGTCAGCATCATTTGCTTTAACAGTCAGTATAGTCACGCCAGGGGAATTATTTTCATTAACAAATGTTTTATATTCATCTGAGCCGAATTTGGGCGGGTTATCATTGACATCTGATATTTTAACATTAAGTGTTTTGTTAGAGTGTCGCGCTGGACTTCCTTGGTCCGATACCAAGATCGTTATGTTATATTCAGTAACAGTTTCTCGATCAAGCATATCATCAGTTATCAAACTGTAATATTCTGAGAATGATGACTCTATTTTAAAAGGAATATTTTGATTTATTGAGCAATGAACAAGGCCATTTTTGCCCGAATCCGCATCTTCTACATTAATAACAGCTACTGTTGTTCCCACTGGAGAATTTTCAGCAATAGTGTTTGAGAAGGACATCAGCTGTATAGTTGGAGAGTTGTCATTTTCATCAGTAACATCTATAACAAATTTGCATGTGTCAGCCAGACCTCCTTTATCCTTAGCTTTAATGTTTAATTGATAGCTGTTTTGAGATTCATAGTCTAAATGATCAAGAAGTATAATCTCACCTGTTTCTGTGTTTATATCAAAAAGTTCCCTTGCTTCCTTGCTAGCAACAGCAAATGAATAAGAAACATGGCCATTAACGCCTTCATCAGCATCAGCAGCGCTAACAGTACCTACACTGTAAACGATTTCTTGTTAAATTAACAGTAAGTTACTGGCAACAATTATCCAGTAGCTGCTGTATTTCATAAAACAGTAACATTACTGTAATACTAATTACATTAGTATTACATTTACTGTAAAATGTAATACATCATTTTACTGTTGTTGATTTTTACTGTAACACTAATTACAGTAGTGATACACATACTGCAAAACTGAAAACAGTATTTTATTGTACATTTTTACCATGAAGAACTACGGTATTTTAACGTTACTTTCATTATTACTGTATAGTATTTTACAGTTATTAAATGTTATTTTATTATATTTAATAGTGCTACTTTATAATGGGTAAAAAAATTTCAAAAATTGCACAAGTGTTATTTTAACTGTTCAAGACGTACAAGAAAAATAAAGAAACTGAAACTTTAACTTCACAATAAAGGTTTATTGTGTAAACCATGCTAAAACAGTAGCAGTAATTCAATATAACAGAGCAACAGAACACTAATAAACAATTGATCATTAAAACCAGTCAACAATTAATGCATCAAAAATTATTACAATTTTAAAAACAGGTGAAAATACTGCTACAAGACAGGAAATGATGAAGGCCAAATGATGTGGAAAGGGACAGTGAAAAAGGGCAGCAGCATGATGATGATCCTGCAAAAATGACAAGCAAAATCAATCACTGGAGTAAAAACTAATCATCCCTCAAACCATTTAATTCATTCAGAAACGAAACACTATATAATATAATATATATTATATATATAAAACAGTTTTTTAATTGTTTTTGTTGGTGAAATACAGTTTGTTGTCAATTCACAATTACACTAACGTTAATGGGGAAAAGATCAGCGGGCATTGTTCTTGAAGATCGCTAGTCAGGTGTCCACACAGGTGTGTAAAAAATAAAGTCTCATGTTAACTTAATGTCTGACTCTGTATAGCTCGAATATCTGATTCTATGATCACACTACTAGTGCTTCCACGGATTTAAGAGGGGTGAACACAGTTCATTCTCACTTTAAGAGGCTACATATTTAAAATAAAATAAATAAAATAATGTAATTTAACGTGACTAATGTTAATACTTTTAGGCTTTTAACACGTATAAATCCACTTCTAACTTACAGACAAGATTGCGTTAGAGAACATGAAAGTGTGGGTGATTTTTTTTAAAATAATGCTAATGATGAGTTACTGATATTTGGTTTGCATAAAACAAAGTAATCACTAAGCATTCATTTTTGGCAAAATCTGCAGAGAGGCTCAGCGACACGAGGAAATGTGTTAAAGTTGAGTAGAGAACTAAAGAGCAGTCTAGCCTACTTCATGAAATATTTGTGGTAATATTCTGCTGTCAATTCGTATTACGGTATTTCAATATGCAGCAGTGATGGCATGTAAGCTAGACAAATAAACATTTTATCGAGTCATTTCATACAATTTATTTATTGATTTATTTTTTATACGAACACTTCTCCAGTGACATTTCCTCAAACTAAATCATCATAACGTTACTGTGCACAGCATCAGTAAAATGTTGAGAATAATTTAAATACTTAATTTTTTAAAACAGTCACTGCTGATTAGAAACTAACATTAAATCTAAGCTTACAGAAATCCTGTATGCATGATAATATAAAGATGTATTACTCACTGATGTCGAAGCACTTCCAGGTCATCCGAGATGTAGACAGGACAGAATATGTGCAATCAAATGAGCTCTTGTGCAGCCTTTGTTGGACATCCAGGTAGTATGTTCACCCACACTGTAAGAAACAAAAACAGAAACAATTTATTAAAATGTGAGGGATAGTAAACATGTTTGGTCTACAGAGAGAAGAAAATGTTTACTTTAAGCATTGATCCTAATGAATCTATTTCTGAACTACATTTAACCTTATCACGGAAACAGCATTTTTGAGCTTTTAGACCAGGGGTGCTCAACCTTGTTTGCTTTAAATTAGAATTAAAACAATAAATCTCTATGTCAAATAAAATACTTCAGATCTAAATAAAGTAGGTGATTTTACCTAAAGGTTCCTTCCCTCCAGTTAGTTTGGCTGCAAATCCCTCCACTGTGCTTTATTCGGTTCTTGTCTTAAGAGTAACTGGTGTCGCATTCCAGGTCCATCACAATTTGGGCTAGAAGGACAATATGACAAAAGACAAGACACATATAAATAAAAGTCTCAGAATAAAATATTTAAAGGAATAGTTTACTATTTTGCCACTATTTACTCCACGTGTTTTAAACTAGTTTGAATTTCTGTTAAACACTAAAGCAGATATTTTGAAGAATGTTAGTAACCAGTAACTATTGACATCCATATTTGAACCAAATTTCTTTAAAAAATACGAAAAATTGTGTTCAACGGAACAAAATAAATATATAACTATTTTGAAACAAGTGGAGGATGCCAAAGATGCTATTATTTTCATTTTTGGGTGAACTGTCCCTTCAATTCAAGTGTCAAGCAATAGTCATAAAAACTGATGTGTCGCTTGAGGAAAACTAAATCAAGTACCTTCTTTGAACAAGCAGAATCATTATGCCATTGTATTCAGTGATTCTCTTTTACATTTTCCCACTATAAAATGATAGCTTCAACATGCAATCCATGTTAAGACAAAAATGAATAGCATAAAATAACATAT